GAAACCCGTCCTTCACACACTTTCCTTTTCCAGGGGCCTTCTCCGCTCACTCCATACACACTGACTTAGTCAAAGTCAATATGTGATAGGCCGTTTCGTCGTGATGCCACTCACAATGGCTATGGAGTATCGATGCGGGTCATAGGATGCGCCAGACACAGAGAAGAGGAACTCTGGTCTAATTGGCAAGTCCTATGGCTGGCGTGATGCCACGTCAACCTGGGACGTGGACGCGCGCAAGGGATGATGAACGCTGATGAGAAGAAATCCGTCCTTCACACACTTTCCTTTTCCAGGGGCCTTCTCCGCTTACTCCATACACACTGACTTAGTCAAAGTCAACATGTGATAAGCCGTTTTGTCGTGATTCCACTCACAATGGCTATGGAGTATCGATGCGGGTCATAGGATGCGCCAGACACAGAGAAGAGGAGCTCTGGTCTAATCAGCAAGTCCTATGACTGGCGTGATGCCACGTCAACCTGTGACGTGGACGCGCGCAAGGGCCTCAGAAGTCGGTGCGCGTGCATTAGGCGCTCTCCTTCTCTACTACCTATTTTTCAACTGTGGGAGCTCACTGTTGCCCCTTAGTGATGGGCTCGAAGGGATCGAAGGGGTAGCTGAGCTCCACAATCAGCGAGCTTCCTTTTTTCATGGAGAATCTTTTGAATGTTTCTTTGGTGAGCCTATCTCCTACCCCGATCCATTTTATTTTCACTCTTTCGGCCCATATCTTCTCCTTTTTTATTTGGATGCTCTCTAGTTTGTCCTTTAGTTCATTTCTCATACAATACCAATATTCATCCCAAGCCGGGCTTGATCCAATTTTGCTCTCTGCGCACTCCATTTTTGATGTGGTTTGTTGCCCTTTGAATTTCTGATTAGTAGCTTTGATCCCTGATGCAAAACTGGAGGCTGCAACCGCTCTGTTCGTTGCATCCAGCGAATCCCCTGTGCTGACAAATAATTCTTTGTTTTTTTTCCCTTTTTTCCAGAAAAGTCTGAACTGATTTGACCAGGGATCTATCGTTAAGGATAGACGTGTTAAGTCTACACTCTATAGTATCCCCTCCCCCTCTGGATTCTGTTGTCTGGGGTGAAGGATGCAACTATTGGTCTGTGGTCAGAAAGGGTATGAAAAGGCATGGACACTTCCTTCACCCAGTCAGCTGGATTTCCTTTTAACAGGAAATAGTCTAAGTCTGAGCTTGGTAAGTGAGCCATGTGCCCTTGCATTGTGAGCAACCCACGTAAATTTCCTATCATTTGGGTGGAGTACTCCGAAGGGGTCCGCTAGCTCTTGGCTCTCCTTAAACAGGGTTATGGCTCTAGAATCTTTTCTCAGCAGCCGGAGAGCGAATAGCCAGATCCTGGACTGCATTTCAATCTCCCCCAAGGAACAGACTTTCCTTTTTGGGGAG